AGCTGAAAGGCTTCTGCAGTTTCCTACTATATCACTTAGTCCCAAGTGATTTTATTAGTGAAGTGTCAAATGCATTAAAGCAATAGAACAACCTTAAAATCCTAAGTAAAACAGATAAATAGCATGCTGGGTGGGAAATGGTAGGTATAAAATTCAGAGTGATAAATTATGCTGACTTAATACAAACCATAAACGACAACACACTGCCGGATGGGGAAAGTTTCATGGCTTTTAACAATTTAATGAAATGTCACTATTACCCAGCTTTTTTTCCCTTTAAAGGAGTGATTGCTTGAGTGTATCAGGGATACCACATGAATTTTCAAAGCAAGATAAGCCTGTTCTGTAATGTTCAGCAGCTCTTTTAAGTTATCACTGTTAGTTACAGGACCTTTCTATAGATACTGTGGTCCAGAATTTGGCTGTGCCTGTAATGGTAATAAGGATGAAAGAAGCAAAGATTATGCTGATGTGCAGTGGGGTCCTGTTGCAAAGTGCTTCCAAGGCGATGCCTGCTCAGGACCACTGCAGCCTTATTTGGTCCCTGAGACTGCTCTTCAAAGCCAACCCACATGTGGCTTTCCATTGAAGGTTCCTACAACTTTGCCATGTTTCATTTTGACACAGACATAATAGTACCATCCTGCCTGGTAAAAATTAATCCTCACCCTTAATGTTTGTGAATGCTCAAAGACTGTAGTGATAACATACACCAGGCCAGAAGGCAATTTAAACAATATATATTGAATAGTTTAGCATTTATGGCAGGACTCGCATAGCTCACATGAACAAACTTGGAGTACACATTGCTGAAAATAACAAGAAATGTTGAGAAGCAATTGATTCAGTGACTACCCTCTATCTTGTGGACTGCATGAGAAAGGGGGTCAGGGGAAAAAAATAAAGGTAGTCTTGTAACTAATACCTGTCAAAATGGTGTGCAACTTGCATATAGAAGGTAGCTTGGGTGACAGTGACCATCATGTTCACTGTATGTTGCAAAGCAGGCATATCAGCTAGCAGGGTTGAAATTTTGGACTCCAAAAATGCGAATTTCAACAGGCTCAAGGCAATAGTAGGGGGGCAGTGCTGCAGGACCAGGAACTGAAGGTGAAAGAAGTGCATGAAGAGTGGTCATTCCTCAAGGACAGAATCTTCAAAGCACAAAAGAAGTCCATTCCCATGCGGAGGAAAGGTAACAGAAGGGCTGGTAAGCCCTCTTGGCTTAATAGGTATATCATAGTCGTTTTGAAAAAGAAGAAAGAGGCATACAAACAATGGAAACTTAGGACAGTCCCCAAAGAAGACTATACAGCAATGGCCCACATTTGTAGGGAGCAGATTAGAAAGGCTAAGGCGGCGACTGAATTTAAATTGGCAACAGAAATCAAGGAGAATAAGTAGTCCTTCTTTAGGTATGTAAGGAACAGGAGGAAAACAAATGGAAACATGGGGCCATTTTTTAACAACTCAGGACAGCTGGTTACTGACACTCAGGAGAAAACTGAACTCCTGAATGACTACTTTGCTTCTGTATTTCACTGGATTAAGGAGAAAATCATACTAGATAAGTTTCAGAATGGGCATGGTGGGAATGACCTTCTTCCTACTGTTGACATTGAGCTGGTGCATTATAAGTTAGAAAAGTTAGACATTTATAAGTCAGCAGGACTGGATGAACTTCATCCAGGGGTGCTGAAGGAGCTGGCCGAAGTCATCACGGAACCTCTGGCAAAACTCTTCCAAAATTCATGGCACTTGGGGGGAGGTACCTGAAGACTGGAAGAGGGTGAGTGTTGTGCCCATTTTCAAGAAAGGGAGGAGAAAGGACCCGGGCAGCTATAGGCTAGTTAGCCTAACTTCTATCCCAGGGAGAATCCTGGAAAAATTCGTCAAGGCGTATATGTGTGATAGGCTTGCAGAAGGTAGGATTCTAAGCAACAGCCAACATGGCTTTGTTGTGGGCAGGTCTTGTCTTACCAATCTCATCTATGGCCAGGTAACTCGCCACCTGGATAAGAGAGAGGAGGTCAACATTGTATACCTAGACTTCCAAAAGGCCTTTGATCTGGTATCCCATGATGTTCTCATGGGAAAATTGGAGGATTGAGGGCTTAACTGCTTGACAGTCAGGTGGGTAGGAAGCTGGCTGTGGGGTAGGACCCAGAGAATTCTAATGAATGGGTCTGTGTCATCCTGGCAAAAAGTAGTCAGAGGTGTCCCTCTGGGGTCCGTGCTTGGTCCTGTGCTTTTCAACATCTATATCAGTGATTTGAATGTGGGGGTGAAGAGCTCACTTGCCAAGTTTGCAGATGACACCAAGTTATGGGGGAGTGTGGCTGTGCTTGAAAATAGGCTGCAGATACAGGCAGACCTAGACAGGCTGGCAAGTTGGGTGGATCGGAACCAGATGAAGTTCACTATTGAAAAGTGTAAAGTGCTCCATCTGGGGACAAACAATCCCCAGATTGTTGGCTCGGTGGCACCAAACTGACTAGCACTATGACTGAAAGGGACCTTGGGGTAATAGTATACCATAGTATGAACACGAGCTGTCAGTGTGATGCTGTAGCCAGCGGAGCAAACAATACTCTGGTATGAATCTACCGATGCATCTCAAGCAAAACCAAGGATGTGATTCTTTCACTTTACTCAGTATTGGTGAGGCTGCAGCTGGAGTACTGCATCCAGTTCTGGGCATTGTACTTCAACAAGGATGTGAAAAAGCTTGAGAGAGTCCAGAGAAGAGCCACCTGTATGGTCAGAGACATGCAAAGCAAGCCATACAAGGAAAGGCAGAGGGACTTTGGTCTCTTTAGCCTGAAAAAGAGAAGGCTGAGAGGGGACTTGGTAGCAGCTTACCAAGGCCTGTGCAAAGCTGCAGGTATTCGCTTTATATTCAGTTGATTAGGAGGGACAGTGATTTGAATCACTGTCCCTATTCGATTAGGCTGATTCGGATTTGGAGATTCAGTGCTGATTCGGAGATTCAGCCATAGACTATAATGGGGAATCACTAAAATACCTATAACTTTGTTATAGCCCATTCTGAGTGCATGAAGCCTGCCCTCCTCTTAGTTTTTTCCATATATGGAAGATCACCCCATCCCTCTCTCTCGTCTCAGTTTCTGTTTGCTGCAAGCCTTCCGAATTTCCTAATCTCTCCAAATTGATTCAGAGGCTTCTGATTCAATTCAGACTTTTTTAATGGGTTTCCTGATTTGATTTGGATTTGGAGATTCAGCCGTCGAATCGGGCCAAATCTCAAACAAATTGAATCGGCTACCGAAGCTTTGCACAACCCTAGAATACATCGAGGGCTCAGTGAAGAACTGTTCACCAGGGCACCCCTGGGGAAAACCAGGAGTAATGACCACAAACTCCTGGAAGACTGTTTCAGGCTTAATGCTAGGAAAGACTTCATCACAGTTAGGGTGTCCAGATTGTGGAATGAACTCCCTCCAGAGTAGTCCAATCACCTACCCTGGAAATCTTCAAGAGGACACTGGACAGTCATGTTGCTGGGATCACCTGACCCCAGTTGTCTTTCTTGTCTAGTGCTTGGGGGCTGGACCCAATGTTCTTGCGAGGTCCCTTCTAGCCCCTTAACTATCGATGAATCTATGAATTTACAGGACTTGAATGTTGATTCCTCAGGTGGGCTTAGTACTTATCCTTTGGAGGAGATGCATCTGAGTCATCACAAGGGAGGAGATTGAAATAGGTATGACAGTGGACAGAGGAGGGGGGGTGGTCTTTGTCCCAATATATGCTTTTATAGAAGAGGAGCTTTCTGTTTTGCTGCTTGGAACTTCTGGTTGTACTTGTTCTCCCCAGCCAGAGATGAAATTCCTCTCTCAGCAGCTGAACTGGAAGCCAGCATCTTGAGTTATGGCCATTGAACTGTCAAGGAAGTTTAGAGACTGAAAGGTCAGAGTCTGAGTCAGAAGGAGCCAGAGCTGCATTTTAAATACTCTGGAGGCGGAGAAAGAAGGGTCTTTGAAATTAAATGTGTCCTATTGGACTTGTTTTGGCTGATTGGACAGCCACAATGTGAAAGACCTTTTGCCTGAAATACATAGAAATTAGGGAACCACCAGGCAAACATTGGGAAATGCATTTGGCACATTATCTCTTGACTTTATTAAATATAGGAAAGTAAGGCCCATCTTGTAGTATGAAGAAATCTGGTATTTCCTGGTTCTTTTAAATACCTGTTTAATTTAAACAGATGAACACAGTCAGTTAGATATACACAATAAATCTTACCTGCTAGACAGTTATGTTGTATAAGTCTTATATAAACTTGTTAATGAATTAGAACAAAGAAATATAAGTAGCTAACTAGAATGGGATAGTTTGATAATCTGCAGAACATTTTGTTGCATATGGTTTATTTGTTCTGGTGTCCAAAACAACTAATCCCAATTTATTTTGATAAGATTTAATTTTACAGAAGAAGATATATACAGGACAAACTGTGTTATCTGGCACTTTACCATTTGGAATGCTCCATTAACCGGCATGGTGATCGATGTGGCAAAAGCGAAACCGGAGGACCACCGTGGCACTTCCAGTTTCGCTGAGTCCCACTTTTTCCTTTTTGCCACAGCCTGGGGCAAAACAGCCTGTGTGGGGCTCCCCTCCCTGTCCCCTGGCACACTGATGCCAGGGAGTGAAAGCTCTGTTGCACTAGATGCAGCAGGAGGGGCGGCGGCCTGAACAGCCAAAGATGCCTCTCAGGTAACCAGTATATTTGGTTAATTGGCACCTCCCATTCCCCATGGATGCTGAATAACACAGCTTTTGCTGTATTCTTCTTTCCCTCAAGATGATCTAAATTCATTGACTGGGTTGGATCTTTCAATTCAATATAGCTTTCTTCTGTCTTAAATTGGGAAGTTTTTGTGAGACTCTAAAGCAAAACAGCGATTAATTTATTTATGCAATTATGTACTTGATAGAAGTTTAACATTAATTTTAAAAAATTGCCTATGCAGGTCTCCAAGTTAGCAAACGTTATGGTTAAACATGGCGTGATGAAAGGAGATCGTGTTGTCATCTACATGCCCATGATTCCGCAGACAATGTTTACTATGTTGGCATGTGCAAGAATAGGAGCCATACATAGCCTCATTTTTGGTGGATTTGCATCGAAGGAGCTTTCTACTCGAATTGATCATGCAAAGGTAACAAATGCATGAAAAAAATAAAACCCACTATAGCTGGTTTTAGGAAAATAACTTATTAATTTTTCTGTTGTTGATTTGTTATATTTCCATTTTCCTTTTGTGGCGCCTATGTTATTGATGCATTCCAAGCATTGGAATGTGAACAGGTAATATTATTTATATCAAGTGTGATCTTTTTTTCAATAACAGATATTGACTTGTACATTTTTTTTATTCTTTTAAAAAAAGTTGACTTTTTTATTATACAACTCTGGGAATAAATTTATTTTCCTCTTGTCCTCTGTTCTGCCTCTAAAATCTCCCCTTAAAATTCATTCTTTCACCTGATCTTCCCTCAGTGGTCCAAAGTATTGAATGTTGCCAACCCTTTACAGCTTCCTTTGGTTGTTATGCTTTGCACTCCCTGTTTATAAAGATGTATGCATGTTCACTACACTCGGGAGTACAAATAATACTCATTTGTATAAACTTAGGAGAAGAAATAATAACATTTGTGCCAGAAGTGAATAGAGTTGTGTACCATGTTTTGAATTTTGCTGACTTTTTTTGTGGAATTGCTAAAGAAATAAGTTAATGATAGTTTTCAAGTTTTCCTCCTGCTCTTGTTGCGTGTGTGTTAAACATACTGTAAGAGCAAAATATAAAAGCTAGAAGTGAGTGAGTGAGTAATAAAAATCAGGGGAAGGAAACTGCTAGGAGTGTAATTGTTGTTAAAGGTAAATTTTTATAATACAGCTAGGATAGTGCTTTTCATTTACAATATATTTGTCAAATGTGAGCTATTTGATCAAAATGGGCTTTGAGGGAAAGAAGATAGGTCAGCATACAATTATGCCTGTGTTACTTATAAGATAAAAGAGAGGTTAAGTGATTTACCTAAAGCTACACAATATGGAAAAACTGTTCTTAAAAATAGTGGCTGCAAGTCCTGGGTTCTATGCTAGTTTATGATGCCTTTGTTTACTTCTTAACATTTAAAAGGGAAATGTAAAAAAACTATGGTATAGTCTCTTGGTACCTTTTGCCTTGATGTGTATATGCAGGAGAATTGCTGTGTAATGAAAAGACAGAAAAAAGATTGTGTGTTTTTAGGCCTGAATTTTGTTTAACTTGCTTGCCTAATTTCAGAATCAGCTTTGTTAAAACGAATTTCCCACAAATCACTGGGATTATTTTAAAGACTTCTTTAAGTGACTATGATAGATTGCATTCTGCTAACTAAAAATTAATCTATTCTTTAGAAACTGCATCAGTTAGTAGACTCTTATTTGTGCTGATTAAACCATGTGCTATAAGTTCAGGTGTTGTATGATTAGCTAGAAAGAGTTAAGAATTTGGAACAGAGATCTCTAAGACTCTTTTGGAAGACGGGTCACACTTTAAATCTTGTCAGAAGACCCAAATAAAAGAAATAACAAACACTTCCTAGTGAATGTAGAAAAGTACTTATACTGTAGCAGTTTGCCTTAATTTATCTTGAATTTTAAGAAGCTCTGGGAATACAGCATAGTTCTACAGTCAGTAGTTGTTAGTCTTGTCAGGTATTGGCACTGCTGTAGACATAAGGTGAATTGTGATGAAGTGATACAGAATATGAGGAGAGGCATTTCTAGTAATTTCTCTTTTCTCTTCAAGTCAAGAATGTATAATTTTTGAGGGGCAGTAAGTGTCTTGTTAGAAGTAAACATACTTCTAACCTCTTGTTTTAAACCTCTTATTTTAAACACATCATGATATGAAAGGATAACTGCAAAGAATTTTTAAAATGATATGCTTGGAGACACTGCGCTTTAAGCAGCTGATGATTCCATTCCTTTGAAAGAACAGTAGGGCTTTTTTTCCAATAACTTCTCCAAGTAACAGAGTTTCATAGATTTTATAGACATTGGGGCTGGAAGGGACCTCGGAAGATCATTGAGTCCAGCCCCCAGTTAATAGCTAAGCATCTGACTTTTGCAAGTTTTTCAGTTTTAAACAGGATTATGATTCACAGGTGTACACTTCTTTGGAATACAGTATGCACAAAGCATATGTGTTGGTTAAAGACATCTGCTCATGTCTTCCACTTAGGACAGAAAGCGCACATTTCTTCTCCCCTTTTAATTATGACATTTTGGCATTCCAATAAGGCAGCCCTGTAAAATGAACTTACCTTATTTGATACTTTATTCTGAAAATTATACTGTTTTTGCATATACAGCTGTAAATGATTACTCCTGCTTCTCATCATGACATGATCAAACCTTTTGGGTGATTAGGCAGCACACTCAGTGTGGCACTTAAGAGGCGTGATTACATCGTAATTGGAGCCCTGTCTTGTCTTGAAGCACCATTTTTTGTATTGCATATTTTTAAAAGTCACTTTACCATAGATGAAAAAAAAGTATATGCCTTTTATTTTTCTACTTAATGGGTTCCTCTATATGTTCATTAATGTGCTTTTGCTATTGCACGTTAAATTTAGTACCTCTAATGTGAGGTACTATCTAAATGTGCATTAGGCTGCCTTAATGCACAGTAGCAAAAGTGCACACTTTTCTGATGACGCTTAATGTGTAGTAGCTTAATTTTTCTGCAGATTAGCTTATTAGCATGGTTTTTGATGTGAATGCACAGTAAAATATGCTACTGCACATTAACACACATGTATAGATGTGCCCAGATGGTCTGATTAAATTTTCTTTAGAGCACTGTGGAATACCTGACAGAACTAAAAATAAACTGCAGTCTCACAGATCATGCAACTGTATGGCTAAAACAGAAGTAGTTATGTTGGTGAGTGGGGTTGCTAGGGTTTCCCAAAGTTCAGTTAATGGACTACTGCCAGCCCACAAAAGGTTTGTATGTGGCTTTCAAAGGGTTTTTTTAGTGGTGGCCATCAATGTTGCATCTGTTGAACCTAAAGGAGTTTTATTGCATATTCATTTTGTCAGGGAAACCCCAGGTTTATGTTCCACCTATTAAGTGGCAGTTTATGAACAAAACAGGGGAATGCATGGCTTAGTTCTGCTGTATTCCCTGAAGTGCCTTTCTAAAATCTCTTGCCCTACCATTGATGTAACTTTTCCAGTGGTAGCAAGTACTGGTAGTACAGTAGAAACTGGATACTGCCAAGTATCCAGAGTTATTCAGATCCACAACAAATAGCTGAATGGGATGTGTCTTTTGTTTGAAAGGATGCTGCATCTTTGAGCTATGCAGGACTGTGGCTGTGGTCCAGGTGATGGAATAAGTTGTGCTCTTTTGAAGTAAAGGTCACAGTAAACACCTGAGTTTCCTGTTCCTAATATGGCAAGCCATTGTGAACTGAGCAGGTTGAGAACCACCTAGATACGAATGATTGTTGTGGTGCTGAGGTACACAAGAGAAGTTAGGGATGTGTGACTGTGCCAAGAGGAAGAGAAGATACGTCTTGGGCAGACTGGGAGTTAGGCATGAGAGAGTTGTCAGTGATGCTCCAGAGAGTACTCTTTGCTTATCAAGAATCTTGCTACAATTGATTTGATGTTTTCTGAGACTATAGTTGCATGTGGCTAGAGAGGAACAGTGGTGATTAGTTCTTCTAATCCAATGGCAGTGACACCACTGACTGAACTATAGTCTTGGTGTTGACTACTGTCTTTAACCACTAGCTGCTGTCTCCAATTGTAATATTTCATATTAAGTACAGACTAATTTATTCAAATATAATCTCCGCATGACTTTTTGTATAGCTCAGTTTAATTAAGAAGTTCTATTCTGTCCTCTTCTGTTGTTAAGTCTGGCCAAAAAGGTATAGATGACATATGTTGCATTTCTTAAAGCAATTTTGAAAATTAATTGGAAATTTTTTTTAAATTCAAACGAATTATCATATTTCCTTGAATAGTACATTTTGAAAGGATACATCCTATTATTCATTTGTAAGGAAGCAGTTTAATCCCTGCTTACACTGTGAAATCTTGACTCAACCTTAACTTGGAAGTTGTGGTTACTGCTTCCAGAATGAAATTAATGCTAATATATGCAATTAGTAAACTAGCTTAGTCAGACTGGAAGATTGTACCTTTTTTGTCATGTTTCGCCAAAACTGCACGAACGAGAAGAATAATGACTGATTCTTTTCTAAATGAGTTTTTTCTCTTAGCTTTTCTGATTTTTATTTTTATGACTGCCTTTTTGGTGGGAATTGGATAAATATAAATTTAGTGTGTTGAAAGTTTTAGGTTGTTGGGTTCTGAAAATATGTCTAAATATTTTGCATACACCTTAAGACAGAAGTGTTGTGATTAAAAAGTGTCTATCTATATGGGGTCCAGGAAAGTTAATGAATCGTACATTCTATAAATAAATGTTCAAAAATATAGAAGCTTCCACCTTTCCACATGCAAAGAGTGTCATGTGTAACATAAGTCATGCATGGTTTATTTTTCTGAATAAATTTATGAAAAATATTCTTGATGTGTTCTTTCTTATTTTAGCCAAAACTCATTGTAGCAGCAACTTTTGGAATAGAACCAGGAAGGAAAGTGGAATACATACCCCTCCTAGAAGGAGCACTGGCAATGACGCAACATAAACCTGAAAAAGTTCTCATTTACCATCGCCCTAACTTGGTAAACTAATGAGATGTTTTCTGCTTCTAAATTGTTATCTGTCTGTTTCCTGTTTTTCTCCATTAAATATATATATGCTGTTCATTTTGAATTGGAATTTTTACCATTGCATAAGATTTAAATAATAATTAGATAGGTGAGAGATTAAATATACTAATTTTTATTCCGGCTGTTTTAATGGAAGACTGGTTGTGCGTGCTATTTGAATAACTATTTTTATTTTATCTGTTTAATTTGGTTGCATATTTTCTGTGTTTCTTGGTATATAGGGCACTGTTCCTCTTGTCCCAGGTCGTGATCTTGACTGGGATGAAGAGCTTGCGAAAGCACAGCCTCATGACTGTGTCGCTGTTCGTTCAGATGAACCACTTTATATTCTTTATACATCAGGAACTACTGGCTTGCCCAAGGTAGGTTTAGGGTATCTTTAGGGTAAGTATCTATGACATACTATTTTCAGTTCCACATGAGGGAGCATTTAATTAAGAGGGTGAAGATGTTTGTCGAAGTTTATTGCTATAATGATAAGCATTGTTAAAGTTGTTTTAATCTCCCTTGCTCCCATTACTTTGATTTCTTAAAAGACATTTTCTTCCAGTAAATTATATTAGCTTAACTGATACATGGAGGCTGTAAAACTAAGATGCATCCTAATACAAATGTTTGTTTTTTGTATTATTTTTGGGTGGTAGATACATGCATATACCCTATGTAATAAGTTTGATATAAATGATACGTGATTATTTGATGGAAAGATAGTATGGTTAGTAAGATTTTAGTTTATATATCATCACTTCCAATTAAATTAAAAATGAAATAGATAATGTTGTTGGATAATATTATGATTCAAATGAGAGTGAGCCTGTTCTAAAGGAGTGCGCTGTTCAATAATTCCTCTGAGAGGAGAGGCCCTGTGAAAATTAGTTTAGGATGGGAATAGTTATAAAACTAGTGTAATACATGCTTTGAAAATGGTAGTCTTAAACAACCAATAATCTTTAACAATCTCTTTTGAGACAGACTATGTTATATTGTACAGAACTGTAAGCCACCAACTATTTTTTGTGCTGGTTTATGGCTGTATCAATTATATATGTATTTTTTTCTCATGTCCATTTGCCTTCTATTTTGCTGCCACCCTCAGGAGTTAACACCCCCTTAAAATATGCAAGAAATTTAATGAGAGTTCACATTGTATCGGTTTTGCTCATTATTTTAAGATAGAAATGTCAAATGTCTTTCACCTTTTGCCTTTTTGGCTGACTGTAGCTTGGATCAGTAAAAAAGTTACAGACTGCTAAAGCAGTTCCCCTAGGGTTTCTGTTAGAACTTTTCTGCTGTGGAAAGGAGCCAAAGTTGTATCTTCAGTAAAATACCCAAACCAGCACTCTGACTAGTCACAAATTGATAATTTTATCACGTCTGTTTTAGCACACTTCAGCAGCCTTTCCTTGCAGGCATTAATGGAGAGACAGAGAGATGGCAAGAGAGAGAGAGCGTATATGGTGCTGGTGGGGAGAAGGAAGGAAGCACACTGAGAATGACTGAGTGGGAAGCAAAAGTTTCAGGCTACTTGTCTTACCCCTCTCCACATTCCTTTTTTGTGAGCAAAAGTGTTTGAATTGGAAACAGACCTATAAAGGTCAGAAAAGTGTTCTTTTGTGCGGACTGTGCTTGGGAGGGGGATGTAGTGTTTGAGCGGGGTGTAGTTCTGTGGAGCAAAACTCCTTATGGCTGGAAAAAAGTTGTGTTCCCCATCCCAACCCCCCCCAAAAAGACTAAACCTTGATTGTTGGAATGTTTCCTATAAAACTACCATATTTACTTGAATCCAGGATGAGGTCCCCCCCGCCCCCATTGAACGTAGGGGAAAAAGTCCTTTATTTTGGACTTAATTATGAGGTGACGGGGCATACAGCTGCTGTAGCTTTAGCTGTGGCCTTGACCAGCTGCCCCCACTGCCTCCCCTATCGCTTTACCCCTCTACCACCTCTTCCACTGCCTGTCTCCTTACCACCTGCCCTCCTGCTTCCTCCCCCACTGCCTACCTCACTAGCACCTCCCCACTGCCTGCCATCCTACTGCCCCCTCACACCCTATTTCCCCTGCCACTTCCTTCCCCACTGCAGCAGTGGGGGCGGGGATGAATTTAAGAGGACCCCCGATAATTAGATTATGTATGGAACATTACATACATTTATACATTTCTCTGTGTGGAAAATCTAACTATTTTTGGGTGAGGAATATCTCTAGATTGTATTAAGTAATACATGTTTAGTTGACATTGGCCTACTCACTCCATGGAGACAATAAGAACACTTTGCAGTCCTCCAGCATCTCAAGAGGCACTGTTCCTAGCCCCCAATCCTGCCTGAAGGGTGATTCTACCCACTTTCCCAGACTCTACTGCCTAAGGGGGTGGTATTGACCCCAGGGCAATACCACTACCTTCTCTGAGAGGGTTTGACCCTGGCCCACATGGCATCACCCACTGAAAGCTTTGAAGTTCACTGAGACTTTCTACCTTTGCTCAAGTGCTGCAGTGCGAATACTGATCACCTACTTGTCTTTGTGAACCAAACTGAACCAGAGAATACCGGGACTGGCCAGGAACTGTCATGGTCAGGGATGTGTGCTAGCTAGGGGCTCAAAGCTAGATGCCCCACCAGTGGATTTGGGTGGGTGATTGGAACCTGCCCCTCCTCTGCAGCTGTTTCCAAGATCAGGGAGCCGGGGCAGGGGGACACGGTTTCCCCCCAGGCTCCGGTGTGTTAGCCCACCCTGGCAGCAGGCAACTTCTGGCAGGGAGCAATCTCCCAGCCCCCACCAGAAAAGAGCTGTCTCCTGGCTCCCTGCTCCCTGCCAGGCCCTGGGTTAGCACCTGGGGGAGCCTAGAGCTCCCCCTGGCTGTTGAAGGTGGCTGGTGCAGGGCCAGAGGGGGTGGGAGCAGACTGCTGCCAGGAGCAGCAAATCTACTTCCGCATCCTCACACGTGTAGATGCCTGCCTGGGGTCGGTTTACTCTAAAGTAATTTACTCTAGAGTAAACCTACCCCGCAGCATTTATATGTTTAGACACTCCCATGGAACCCTATATGGCCTGGGCCCTGCATGTCTAGAGGACTGCCTTCTCCCTAATGTTTCTAAGGCCAGCTGAGACCAACCTTCTGCAATAACATTTGTGCGCCAAGTCCATTTGGCAAAAAACAAGAGGGAGGTCTAGCTCCAGCTCTGGAACTCTTTCCTTCTTGAAGTGCATCAAACCCAAGCCTGGAAATTGTCCAGAAGCACTGCAAGACCTTTTTATATAGGCAGATATTTAGCAGGAGGGTTTTTGTGGTGCTGTTTGGAGAATATGTTTTTTGTTGCTTATTACATACTATTGATATATGAATAGGGATAGTAATAAGGTGGTAGGACATAACAGTATTTAGCCGCTGGTAGCAACTGCAAGTTGTGCTCATGGTTTTTAGTTTTTCTTTTTTTGTTAGACTCCTGCCAAGTCAAATATCAAAAGATTCTTTGTGCCTTTTAAAGCCAGAAACAAACACTATAATCATCAGTCTAACCACCTACCTATCACCACAGAACTCCACCTAGTCATTTCTGTATCAAGTCTAACAAGCTGTAGTTGAATTACATATCTTCTAGAAAAGCCTATCTTTAACAAAAACATCCACCCTTGACTTATGGGCTTCAAATGTAGAGAATTCATCACAATCCTCTGGAAAATGTTCCAGTCTGTAAGTACACAAATTGTTAAATTGAGGATCTGTATGTGCGTGGGGAGGGCAGCAGGGTGCAGAAGGAGGCAGCAGGGGTGGCAGTGTCTTTTTTTCCAATTTAAATGTCTAGCTTCAGCTTCTATTCATTAGATCTTGTACCTTTCTGTACTACAAAGCCTTTTACCACCAGGTTTTTATCCCTGTGCAGGTATATATAGAGAATGATAATGTTAACTTCTGTCTTACAAAATATATTACCAGTACTCAGCCCATACCCATGGCTTTTCGTCTGAAGCCTCTTCAGTTTCTCAGCATTCTTTAGGAATATAGAAAACCAACTTGAATATGGCTTTCCAGTAATGACTTTGCTGGTCACACAGGAGTAATCTTGCTTTACTCCATTTGGCATTGATGAGACTACTACTAGAATATCTTTTAGTTGTGCAAGTTAATTTTGTATGAGGACTTGATGGGATAAAATTAATGGAGGAAGAGAGTAGAAACGGAAGACAGGTCTGTTAGAAGAAAATCATATTTTGCACTTTTCCTTGAATATAGTAACAGGAGACTTCTCGGAGGACATAGGAGCTCTGACAACTAAATTGTCCCAATGGCCATAGTGGAACAGACCAGGTCTCTCTGACTTGATGTCAGTGCCCTTGAGATAAAAGCAGATTTGTAGGGATTCATATTAATGAATTAGAAGATAGAGAGACATGCAGGATGCTGAAATAAGAAAGGTGGAGATAAGTCTATGGTATACCAGCAGAGGATGGTATCTTTATTAGTCCTCACAAGCATTTTGGTAAAGACTGTTCAATAATGTATCACTAACTGAAGATCATGAAGAAGTTACTGAAATTTGTATGTAGCTCTGAGTCTCTTTTAGATGGGACTGAATAGGGAATCCTGTGAGAACAGTGCATGTGCTTTTGAATCATTTTGAGGCAAACGTTTGAACCTGCCTTCTAGGCATATAGATCCTTCCATATACTTTTCAAAATGTGCGTCCAGCTGCTTTTACTTTTGGTTATTAGTCAAGTGCTGTGACCTAAGAATTCTGTATCTTTTTCTCTGGAGGAAGGATGATCACTGGAAGTATACAGAAAACTTAAAAAAAAAAATTATTTTAGAGACAGTGAAATATTTCCCTCAATATTTTCCAAACTAGAAAAATTTAGAATGAAAATGGATCACCACAAAAATAATTTTCATGTTAAGAGCTGATAGCAAGCTTCTGTTTCTTATCAGTCAAGAAAAAGAAAGAAGAAAAAGACCCCCCCCACCCCATAGTTTCATAGATGGTATGGTCGGAAGGGACCTGAGCAGATCATCAAGTCCGACCCCCTGCCATAGGCAGGAAAGAATGCTGGGGTCAAACAACCCCGGCTAGGTGATTATCTAGCCTCCTTTTGAAGACCCCCAGGGTAGGAGCGAGCACCACTTTCCTTGGAAGTTGGTTCCAGCTCTTAGCCACCCTGACTGTGAAGTAGTGCCTCCTGATGTTTAACCTGAATCTACTCTCAGTCACCTTACGGCCGTTATTCCTTATTACTCCCGGTAGTGCTTGGGGGAACAGGGACTCTCCCACTGCCTGCTGGTCCCCCTTGGCAAATTTATAGATGGCCACCAGATCCCCTCTCAGCCTTCTCTTGTGGAGGCTGAACAGGTTCAGGTCCCATAGCCTCTTCTCGTAGGGCCTGCCCTGCTTCCCCCTGGTCATGTGAGTGGCCCTCCTCTGGACCCTCTCGATGCTGTCCACGTCCCTCCTGAAGTGCAGTGCCCAGAACTGGATGCAGTACTCCAACTGCGGCCTGACCAATGTCGCATAGAGGGGGAAGATCACCTAGGATCTGCTTGTGATGCATCTGTGGATGCATGACAAGGTGCAGTTAGTCTTGTTCACCGCGTACTCACATTGCTAGCCCATGTTCATCTTGGAGGCAATAGTGACTCCAAGATCCTTTTCTGCCTCTGTACTGACAAGAAGGGAGTTCCCCAGCCTGTAGGTATGCTGCTGGTTCTTCCTCTCCAGGTGCAGTACCTTGCACTTGTCAATATTGAAACCCAACATATTTTCATCTGCCCACCTCTGTAACCTGTCCAGATCTAGTTGTAGCCTATCCCTCTCTTCTAGCGTGCCCACTTCTCCCCACATCTTAGTGTCATCTGTGAATTTGAACAACGTGCTTTTCACCCCCTTGTCCAAGTTGCTGATGAAGATGTTGAACAGTGTGGGCCTGAGGACCGAGCCCTAGAGAACCCCACTGCCCACATCCCTCCAGGTCAAAAATGACCCGTCCACCACCACTCTCTGGGTGGTCCTCCAGCCAATTTGTGACCCATCTGACTGTGTAGGTGGCGACACCACAGTTGCTAATTTTTTAATGAGGATGGGGTCAGAGACAGTGTTGAAGGCCTTCCTACTGTCCAGAAAGACTACATCCATCGTGACACCTGCATACAAGGATTTTGTGACCTGGTCGTAGAAGGCTACCAGGTTGGTCTGACAGGACCTGCCTTGAATGAACACATGTTGGTTGCCCCTAAGCATAATGTCCCCTGCTGGTCCCTCACAGATGTGGTCCTGGATAATTTTCTCAAAGAGCTTTCTCAGAACCGAGGTAAGACTAATGGGCCTATAGTTTCTTAGGTCCTCTTTTCTCCCTTTTTTGAAAGTGGGGACCACATTGGCCCTTTTCCAGTCCTCTGGCAGCTCACCAGAGCACCACAAGTGCTTGTAAAGCTGTGCTGGGGTCCCGTAATTACCGCTGCCAATTCCCTCAGCACTCTGGGGTGGAGATCATCAGGACCTGCTTATTTGAATATGTCTAGTCCCACCAGAAGTTCCCTGACTAGCTCCTTACTGACCCTGGGCCTGGCTGCGCCTCCCCTGGGTCAGTCCGGGATCCCAGTGGGTGGGATGTCCCAGTCCCTGCTCAGAAAAATGGAAGCAAAGAATCTGTTAAAGAAGTTAGCTTTGTCGTCTGGTGCAACCACCAGATTTCCTGCATGTCCTTACTCAGTACCTTCTTTTTACCTCCTATGTATTTAAAAAAGGACTTCTTGTTATCTTTGATCCGGGTTGCTGGTCCCCGTTCCTTCTTTGCCTTAGCCTTCATAACAGCCCCCCCTACAATCTCGAGCAATGGAGGTATAATCCTTCTTGGTGACGGCCCGTCCCTTCCATTGGGTTTATGCCTCCTTTTTGTCTTTGAGACATTCCTGGGTGCTTTTGGTGAGCCATGGGGGCTTTTGAGCACTCTTGGCCCCTTTGGACTTGGAGGATCATCTCCTTAAGGAACAGCCACTCTTCTTGGACTCCCAAATCTCCTCCCCTCCGGGACTTCAGTACCTCCCTGACTAGTCTCCTTACCTCATTGAAATCCTCCCTCCTGAAGTCCAGGGCTGCTGCCTTGCTGCAGGCCTTTGACACCTTGCGCTGGATGGTGAATTCGAGTAGGTGATGATAGCTATCGCCCAGGTGGTCGAGAACCCGCAGTCCCCTCACCAGGTCATTGCCTGTGGCCAGGACCAGGTCCAACAATTCATTTCCCCTGGTGGGACTGTGCCCCTCCTGGGTTAGGTGGAGGTCCTGTAACTTGGCTAGGAACCTACATGAGTGGTCAGACCTGGCTGACTGCTTTTCCTTGCAGATGTCTGGATAGTTTAGGTCACCATGTATGAGGGTCTTTCAGGAAGTAATAGCAATTTCAAAATAAAACTATTGTATGTGCAAGAGTGGGAAAATACACGGTGGGAAACACTCGTCATGGTATTGTCAAACACACCCATCATTTGTGGCTGTGTAGAAAAGTGATGCACAAATGATCATTGCACACAAAATGGTTTTATTTGGACATCCCCATTACTTTCTGAAGATCTGTAGCAGGGAGCTGGAGGCTCCTGTTACAAAAAAGGATCAGACTCATTGTAAAGGGTGGTGTGTGAGTAAACAAGTGGGCAAGATAAATACTAGACAGAGTGCAGGCAGGAGGGAGGAAGGAAGGAGCCGCTGATTAACTCTTAATCAGACTATCACCTTGGGGCTGTGGAGTAATTTTCTGCAGGTGACAATGGGAAGAGTGAGATAAGGGCTTGCTCAGAAGCGAGAGCATATGCAGGGGAACAGAAAGCAAGCTCTGCCCAGTCATGGGAGAAAGCCCTGAGGACGAACTGAGGCCTCTCGCAAGGAAGAAAGAGACTGCGTGCTGAGGGACCTTGGCAGGGGATTGGACTTGAGCTGAGCAGTGAAGTGAGAAGCCCAGGGGTGGGTTACCTAGGTGGGCTTCATTTGCTCAAATAGACTAACTAGTTTTCTGCTGGCTCTGACCTGCTCGACCTGAGGCTGCGTGAGTTAGAGACAATGTACCCTTTTTTTTCATTGCGCTCCCGAGATAGGTATGTGTTTGGGTTAAGGCGGGAGCCAGACTTTCAGTTTGTTTACTAACAGGAGGACCAGGTTGGGACTAGAAGAGGGGAGGCGGGTGTCCCAGTAGTGCCAGAGATGCACGGAGAAGCTTGAGCCTGCTGGGGTTTTCTTCTAAACATCCAGTGTTTAGAAGAAAACAGTGTTCAGACCTAGACCTGTGAGACTTCTGGGGTCCTAGGCAACCTCAAAGCATTTATTTCAAGAAATGTAAAAGGCATGGTAGGAGAGTGAGAGGAAGGGCCCAGGGACCAGGCGGGCAGGAGTGGAGGACCAGATGAGGGCACTAAAACAACACCCAACTTCATCCTGCTACAAAAACCCTTGTATTTTGTTTTTAGGCTGAAATGTTGCACTTTCCTTAATATTGCATAATCTATCCATCTGTATATAAGGTTTAAAATTGAAAGAAAGCTGTGAAAGTATGAATATAGATAAGTATGTGCACACACATTCTTGTAATGTGATCCCTTAAGACTTTGCTCTTTATTCTGTAAATAGTCTTGAAGAGGCAGATTAAGACTTTTATTATGCTGTATTTTTGTCAAAATAAGACATATCCTGGTCATTCTTTAAATCATTCAAGAAATATAAGAAAACTGAATGATGGATTTTGTTAATATTGAGTTTGTAAAAATTCATCCCCATGTTAATATTGGGCTTCTTTCATGGATAGAAATATTTGTTACAATTCAGTGGGAGTTTGAGACGTATTTACTGAAATACCTCATTTTAAATGGGAAAAATAAAAGCAGAATTCAGAGAAACCTCACAACTTCTTTGATAAGTGCGTAAGAAGTATATGAAACTACATGAAAAGCTTTTACCAGTTAGACTTGCCCAGAAATGTATAGCTTTGCAGAAAACGCCCATAATAGGACAGTAGTATTACACTGTTGTACTGGGCTTTGGTATATGGAAGATGGGGGAGAGTAGAGACCCACACTGCTGTGGAAATTTGGCTCCTTTGGCACTATTTACATTCCTTTCCATCCATCTTGCTTGTCTCCATCTGACACTGCAACTGTTTGTTGCTCCGTATTACAAGGGATGAGAAAAGGGCTGTGTAATGTTGGTTATTGAGTTAGGTCAGTGTGTTGAGCTCATTTGTATGTTGGATCACTTGAAACGAGAAGGAAATGTTAATGTAACATAAAACGAACAACCAAAACCAAAATTCCACACAAGGTAGGAAATGGAAGATTGGGAGAAAGAATGATGAAAATAGAGAGTCCATAACAATGGCTAACATAAAAGAGTATATGGTTAGAGAAGGGCCAGGTGACTGGGTGCCAGTCTAGCAAGAGAAAATCCAATTAAAAAGCAGTGAAGTGTCTTTTATTCTCACTCACCAGGAGGCTTTCACATGTGGATAGTAGTCTAGTTCATCAAAGCACAGGGTGAAGAATCAAGAATTTTCCTGTTTTGGAAGAAAAAAAATAATATGTTTTTAGAGCAACATGCACAGTTATTGTCACATAATACACACAATCTTGCATAAATGAATGGAGGCAGGATCAATACTTTTAAAGCTTTCAAAATCCTATGTCCTAGAAGCAACTTTTGGTGGTTAATATAACAAGGCATGAGATGTAATTGTTGGCAAAAGTATGTTCTGTAGAGTGGTGCTAATGTTTTATGGTAGAAGGGGCATTCCTCTGTATTGTTGAAAAGTGAGACCTTTATGCTCTCCATCCTGTTACAGCTCACATACTTCTTAACTTTTTTGTTTTAACCCCCTGTTAATATCTGTTGATGGAATGCATGACAATCCTATTCTGAAGAGAGGTTTATCCTAGTAGTGGTCTTCTGCAAGCAGTTGCCTTCAGCTTCAGCTTTATTTTTTGTTTTGTTTTGTTTTCTTTATATGATCCCTCTGCATGCTAATGAAAAGTTGCTTCTAACCATATTTGGCATTCTTTTAGTAGGACTACTGGCACAAGCACATATTTGTAGTATAAAGCCCTTATGTTATTCTGATGTGGCAGAGAACTGGAAGTTGTAGCAAGACAACTTTACCTTTTCAGCTAATTTGTATTGTAGAGAATAATTTCCTCATGGAAGCAAGAGTCATGTCTGTGTGCCTTGTAATTGAGCATGATTTTATATTTTTTCATTTAGGGTGTTGTTAGACCAACGGGGGGCTATGCAGTTATGTTGAACTGGACCATGTCGGCTGTATATGGACTCAAACCTGGAGAGGTAACTGCCATTTAAATTGTAGTTGTGTTCATTAAAACATTTTTTTAAGACAACCAAACACATATATAGTTTTTCTTTCTTTCTTCTATCCATTTCAGGTGTGGTGGGCAGCTTCTGATTTAGGTTGGGTAGTTGGCCATTCCTATATTTGTTATGGACCTCTCCTGCATGGAAATACAACTGTTTTGTATGAGGTAAATGCTTGTTTCTGGTGTTAACATTTCTGCCTTATCAGAGTATGTGAAGACATGCATTTATTGTTATTATGACAATTATTGTACATTTTTGGGACTTCAGAAAATAGCAATAACTGCCGATTGTCTGATATCTTAACCCATCATCTTGGAAAAACCTGTACATGTTCATAAACCTGTTGATTTTAATAAGCTGCACACTTTTAAGCACACATACCTATTAGTATGGTCAGAGCCATGATGCTACCATGAAATATCCCTAAGTTTAGCAATAAACTTGGAACATTTTTATCCTCAGTGAGCAAATAGGGTATATATTCTCCTTAATAACTGCTCAATATAATATGGAGGCTGCTACTGTGAAAAACATCTCTGAAAAGCTTCAGTACTTAGATATACATGTTTAAATATGCTTTACCTGTATTAGCAGAGTGGGCATTTCATTGTAGTTGTTGACCTCTGATAATGCTCTGATAATTCTTAGAGTTAAAAATAAGAGCAAATACACCACATGTACAATGTGTTATGGATCTTTTTGTGTACAACTCTTTGGCAGTTATTTTTTGATCGGTTCTGCTGTGTAGTATCTGCTATGAAAATAGTAGTTACACTACAATTTCCTCAGAGGTTATCCTTGTCCATGTTATAATTGGCTCCTGGAAACAGTGTTGCTTGCATTATTTTCCTTTTTGCTTCAAGGGGAGCTGAATTTATTCCATCTTTGCAGGCAGAAGAAATGGTGGAATTTCACTAAAGGTGTGTAAAAGGATTGTGAACCTTCTTGTAGTGTCAATCCTAGAGAGTAGTCCATGGATGGGGTAGGGGAAGAATAGAGGATCTATAACTACAGAAAGCTCTTTATCATCTTGGACGTGATATTTCTGGAAGGCAGTCATTTTCAACCTTTTAGACTCAGGTCACCCTTGTTAAACTTGCAGCCTCTAGGAAAATTCCAGGCCCTAGCTTCTACCTGTTTTTTGACTAAAAGAACAATTTTCCTGTGGCAAAGAACTCAGAGGTCATGTCCCTAAATGCAGGGGCATGTGCTTGCAGCAGGAAAAAAAGTAGCAGCACAATTTATGCTGCTACTTTTTGCTGCTGTGCACACCCCTGCACATGCACTTTGGTGCAAGGCAAAATGTCCTGCTTTGGGGAAACAGCAGTTTCCCCATTCCTCCCACTCCTGGCATGCTGGAGGAGCCAGGGTGGAACCAGAGGGAGGGAGATGCTCTGGCCAGTAGCCAGAAAGTCTCCTTGGAGGACCGAGCCTCTATGTCTGCTGGTGTACCGTCCTGTGATATTTTCCATGCCACTTTTTTCACAGTGTTTTTTTTCTACTGGGATTTCCTGGTAGCAAATTTTGCCCCTGGGCTGCAGATCTGTAGTGTGGGGCATGTTTTAATGTGCTGGGCATGTGGTTTGTGGCAGCACAAAGAGGTTTGTAAAACCACAAACCGCACATGCTTGCATGTCTTGGTCCAGCCAGAAAGATAACAGTACATCAGGAAGTTTTTACTATGGATTACTTTTTCAAATCTCTGGGCTTATGTTACAAGTCACCTGTAAGTGTCTGCATACCAACTGTGCTAATATTGAGCAGCACCCCGCAGCACCCTTGAGGATATCATGTCATCCCAAGGTGCTGTGGCATCCTAGTTTATAATCACTGGTCTAAGGAGATTTTTCAGAGATGCTGCTGCCTTGAGCAGTGGTTAGACTAGGTGATGGTTTGTTGTCCCTTCCAGTTTTCTCTTTCTGTGAGTCCATGAGGATGCTTTAGCCAATAGGCATATGGTATTTTCTGTTATTGCATAGCTGAGGAATGGGAGCCTTCATGAACAGGAATCTTAGATGAAGTGTACCATAATAAGTGTCCACAAATTTCGTTTATAACCTGTGAGATTAAGGCAGGAAAATGGTTCTTTCCACATTCACATAATTTTGTCTAAAAGTGCCAATCCAAACCTGGTTTACATAGGTCTATACTAGGCCAACTGGTGCTTATGAGTGGTGCTAGGATTTGCGTGAGCCATTGAAAGAAAGACCCCCCCAAAGACACCAGTGAAGGTCCTATTTCTTTCTGCAGGACTTTGTTGGGCCACAGGTGTGGGTTCAGTAACACCAGCATGGGGAGTTCTGAGATATAGTTAGCCATGTTAATTTGTGTTTGAGGAGGAAGCAGACATTTGTACCTTTATAGACTAACCAAAGTAGATCTCTGTCTTTCTCTCTCTCACCCTCTTCTTTTATTAGTCTGTAAGATACAAATCTATCCTGACTTCTACTTGACTTCAGACTAACACAGCTCACAAATGTGTGTCTGTAATTTTATTTATATATAAATCAAGCTTTATATATCAAGTTATATGTATTGAGCTTTTGTGAGCCCAAGCTCACTTCATCAGACTCTGTGAAAGGATGTGCGTAGAACATGGAACATTCTTGTTCCACAGTTTTGCTGTTGAGTTTCTTTTGAAGTTTTGGGGTGTTTATAGATGTGCTCCAGGAGGCAGGATGGGGGGTGCTTTAATTAGCACAGCTCCAAGAGTTGTGCTAATTAAAGAACCTGGAGCATCATGTGTATCAGTGTCCCTGCACTGAAAAATGGCGGCAGGGCACTTTGAACTAATGCTTGTCAAACAAACTTTAGTTTAGAGCATTGGACCATTGCTGCCATTTTTAAGCATGGGGTCACTAATACATGTGATGCTGGAGTCTGCTGGAGCATAGTAATTACCACACTCAAGCAGACTTGATTAATCAAGTTTGCTCCAATGTGCTGTAATTACAGTGCATTGGAGCCAACCTCCTTACACGTGTACAGGACCCTAAGAACAGGTAGCCTGAGGACAGAGATGGAACGTCTAGGGAGTTTAAAGTGTTCTGCCACAGGCCTGCATGTATTTCTGCAGCTGATGTCAGATCAGTGTTTGTTCATTCTTTCACGTAGGGATCGCCTCATCTGTCCAATGTAGACAGGAGAGGGGCACGTTGAGCAGGTGATGGTGTATATGACATTGGTGCTGTTGTAAGTTAATGAACCCCAGATGTTATAATCCGTGTTATCCAGTCCAGTGATAATGTGGTCTATAGTGATGTTGGGGATGGGGAGTTGTGGCAAGGCTTGCACAGTGTCTGGGTTCTAAGGAGTTCTGACATTTACGTACTTCAGCAGCCTTCTCCCTTTCTGATGACATGGCTATCAGTAGAGAGTTAGGGGTGCCCCCTGTGGGGACCCAACCTGTCCTTTCCTGCCATAATTTATGAAGCTGTATTTGTTCCACGTGTGTCTGCATATAGAATTCATTTACATTTTGGGCAGTTGCAGAGTGGTGGTGAAATACTCAGTTAGAGGTCTGGTGGCAAGGTGGGGCTAGCTTCAAAATAACTTGGGTGTGTAAAAGACAGTGAGAGAGATTGTGGCCTGCTGCAGTCTGCATAGCATTTGTGAAACTAGAGGCTAGTATTTTCCTGTTGAGTGGACCCAGGACACCAATGGATGCCCAGTGAATTTTTTATGACTGGAAAGCATCCCTTTAAGCAAAATGGGCCAATAGTCAAGGAAGTCATTGGCATTTAGGGATAACCTCTATGCTCACTTGCATGATACATGTGGCAGTTGTAATGAGAAAGTGATTACTAATGCTTGTGTTTTATTGGAAAATACCATGGAACATGCTGTCCTAATATATGTCAGGGATTTAAAATTTCTATTCTGCATAATCTTTAGAACTTTCAGGTTGAAAGGATTACTGATGTTCATAAAGTATTTTAGGGCAGGTCAATTTTTCTGTATCACTTTGGGTAAGGGTAGATTTACTGACCAAATTCCAAGTCAGTTTTAATGAAACTTTCATTGCTTGCTGGTTTGGGGAAAAGGGGTGCCTTTTAATGGCGTGGGTGGGTTGCTTACTGTTTTTCAATTCTTCAGTAAAAAACAATGGGCGTAGAATTTGCTTCCTATTTCCTTACTGTTGAGCGAGAATCAACAAGTAATTAAACATCCCACCCTATTCTACTTCCCCATTCAGTGAAGGAGGAACTTCACAATATTACAGTTAGACCTTCTGATATGGCTAACGATAAACGTCCAAGCAAGGTGCAAACTAGAAAACTAAAGTGCGAACTAAAACTACAGCTAGCATGCTATTTTGAAGAAGAAAAGACAAAACAAGACTGCTGGTAACATCAGTGATAGTGGTATCTGCTGCTTGTATTGTCTGTCCTGTTTTTCTCTCCCTTTTCACTTCTTGTATGCTGAAGTCCCCCCACAGCTGTCCAAACTTGTAAAGTTCTGTAGACAGTTGCAGTTCTTGAACTTCTGTAAGCTCTGGTACTGCAGTGGAAGGAGCAGAGAAGCAGGTTTGAAGAGTTCCTTGTGCCTGATTAATCACTTGCAGAGGATCTTGTGTTGTAAGAGGCGCAAGCATGGGTTCCTGTCCTTAACAAGGACCATAACTGCTATCTGGGCCTACATTGTCACTGCAGAGAGGCTGTTGCAGAAGTCCACATGGAGTCATGTGCCTATGTGGGGATTTGTGTGCTTGAACTGTGGGTTTTTAATAGAACCTCTCCCAAAAATATAGGTAGGTTGATGGCAGGTAGTCCTTACTGGCTTACGGGTCCATTTGCTCTGCTTCCTTTCCTGTGAGGCTACCCATGACTGTGCTGCCCATATGTAGGTCCTTGGAGAAACGTGTTAGGACATCTGGTGGAATATCTTGCTAAGCAGATTGCTGTGAGTTTGTTGTGCAGTGTAGCACATAACTGTGGTCATGTTTTGGGAACTTTCCTCTCCCTCTTCCTTTCTGTAAAGGCTCTGTTAAAGAAGAATGGACTCATGGGAGCTGCCGGGTTTAGTTCTTAAACCTCTGATGGGTGTCTGTTTGAGCTCTGTGTAGCTGGAGGACAAACAGGTGTGTTACTGGATCCCAGGTTAGCATTCGTTGTTTTTCAGTGCAGTGTCTGATATGGGTGACTGTATCTCAGTAAAGTACTGC